TTTCTTTGAAGTTAAAAGTCTGCATAAGAAAGGAGGAGAACTCAGAAAATCGTGTGAAAATCTGAGAGAATGGACTTGTATTTATAGCCAATGTTGGGCTGAAAACTGAAGAGGTGCAACTCTTCAGAATGACTGTTTATGCAAAATGGCCATAGCATAGATGCCATAACATAAATGGCTAATTTATGCAATAATAAACCGGGAATTGAATAGGAGGTTAATTTTCAGTTACACGATCGAAAAACTAAAAACGGATAATGGAAAAACGTTTAATATTTCGTTGGATTTAATATTAATATTAATATTAATATTCTGTTATTAAAATAAATATTTAATAACATTTCTGTTAATATTTACTATTAACAGATAAATTTGGTCCAAAAAATTAATCAATCGATCGATTATTTGACCAAATCCGAAGCCGAGCGAGCGACGACAACAGCGAGTTGCCTTCTTCTCAACTCTTTAAGAGCTAGAAGAAGAGCAATTGCTTATATACCCATCAAAAACCTCTTCCTCTTCCAATATGGGACAATGTCCCTTTGTCAAGGGAGGGAAACTTAAAATTTCATTCCCCTCCATTTCTCATTCACCCTCTATTAAGCCATATTGATACTTAAAAACCAACATAACCTACATTCCAATTAATTACTGTTCATTGCAATGACTTTTTATTCCGTATTCTAACTTGAGATATATTGAAATGGATAGAGAGACGTAAAAACATTTTACGTCTCATTGAAATTTCATTAAAAGCTGAAGGAATAATATTGAGGCAATTTCATTTTCAGAGGAGTGTTTCATGGATAAGTATACACAAAAATAATGTTACTTAATAAAATGGGAGGATAATGTTAATAATGTTCCTGGAGAGGAAGAATGTTTCATTTCTTTTCCCAGGATCTGCTATTGGGGCAATTCTTGATTATAATATGAGTAATTTTTTTCCCATTGTAAAAGATTAACATCTCGAGAAAGATTATGATTTAAATAGTTGCTAAAAGTCAACAATGAAAATTGATGATCTCAAGACTGCATTCTTTTTTGGGTATCTTAAGAGTGACGCAATGGAACGTATAATTAATTTTAGCCTCTAAAGCATGAGTAATGAGCTATTTAAGCATAGTATGTAATATCAGTTGAGTTATATCATTTGATATTTTCATATATTTAGCATTCAGAAGTATTTCTCATTGAGCCATTTTTCATATTTAATATGTCGCGGTCATGTCATGATAAAATTAAGTTATTATTCAGTGAGTCAATAGACACCCTCTTTTAACATGTTTTATAGACAGATGATCATAAAGTATTTGTAAATTAGTTTGACAAGATAATTATAAGTTTGCCTTAGTACTTCTTCAAGGTCAAAATCAGATAATGAGTTTTCCATACAAGCTTTCTATTGATCATGTGACATGATCAATAGAGTTTGATTCAGCGACTCGAGCTTTAATTTGAATAAGATAGCACGAGCCAAAAGTTTTTATGAACCCCACCCCCTTTTCAAAGGGTGCCTATTTCTTTGTACCAAAGAAAAGCCTGGGAGCAATGATAAAATTGTCTTCGTATGACTTACATAGGTTACGGATTCGAGCCGTGATAGCAACCATTAATTGCATGCATGTATACATTAGAATATGTTGTCTATGTCACACCCCTTGGAATGCGATCCTTTCTCGGACACTGTGTAAATGTGGGACACTTTGTACACGGGCTGCCCTTGCCTATTTCTTTGTACTCATTTAGGTTATGAGACTTTATGTTGTATTTATAATCCTAGAGTTTTCTCCATGTTATTACTCACACAATAGATTGTGTTGCTGCTGTTTATTCTGAGATGTAAAGTTGCTTGTGACATTTGAGTTTAGTTCAAGGGACATTTAAAAAGTTAAATACCACAAATGTTAAGACTGAAATCAGAGGACCTCTAAAGACTTTATTCTACTTTTTCTTTATAGGTTTCATATCATTTTCAATCCAACCTACATAATGAAGAGCCTAGCTATGTAGGTTTTCTTTTTGTATGGTAGCTCTAACATGCAAACAAGGACCACTCTTTAACTCCATATAGAACAAAATCTTAGTTTTTTCTTTATCAAAATCTTATACTCCCTCCGTTCCAATTTATGTGAACCTGTTTGACTGGGCACGGAGTTTAAGAAAAAAATGAAGACTTTTGGAATTTGTGGTTCTAAACAAGTCTAAATGGGGCCCAGAGTATTTGTGTGGTTATAAAAGCCTCTCATTAAGGGTAGAGTTGTAAGTTTAAGCTAAATTGTTACCAAATTTAGAAAGGGTTCATTCTTTTTGGAACGAACCAAAAAGGAAATAAGTTCACATAAATTGAAACGGAGAGAGTACAAGTTAGGTCGTTACTATATAAACCAAGTTGTAATCGAGGCATGAAAAAGAATTGTATCTACGTAGATTCAAGAAATGGACCCTTTTGTCTGCACTATTCTTGACACAAACACTGAAAAAACACCTTTCTAATTATGTAGAGATTGATACTGATTTTCACTCATTTGAAGGAACACTATATGCTGTGTATTTTTCATTGCCAACTATATATACTAGGCTTATTTTATTTTATTTTTTGATTTTTTTTAGGAGTGGCATAGGGGTAGGGGAGTGGGGGGTCAATTGTCATGGCCGTTTTCATAATCACAAATAATGAAATGGCTTGTAATCAAATTAATGATGGGTTCTGGTGAAACCCAAGCTTGAAAGTTAAGTACACAGAAGCATCATTTTCGTGAATGGTTCTTTTTTATAAATCATTATTTCTTCATCTCTGGAGGACCAAAATTCATGGAGAATTGTCTCCGGGATTTGAAATTAATTTATAGATTTTTAATTATTTTTCTTTTTTTTTAGATGAGTCCATGTGACGAGGAGGCAAGAAGTTCAAGTAGTGAAAACAACGTCTTATGGAAATGTGAGCTACATAACATGAAGTGATCGGATAGTATTTCAAATTGCAATTAGATATCGAATGAAAACGTTTAAAGGAGAAGAAAAAGAATTCTGAAGGAATTGATTCAATTTTCTGTGTATTGAATGAATAACTCTCTGTACAGCTCGTGTATATATACAAAAATGAAGGAATCTTCTGATAACTAACTATGACAGCTGTGCCTATACAATTTGCTGTCTTCTAACTGACTATTAGATAAATACAAATATAAATAAAGAATTTACAGTGGATAAATCTGGATAAGTTCTTAGATGTCTTCTGGAAGGTCCAAAAAATAATATTGAGCCCAAGTGTTAAGCCCAAGTGAATAAAGACCAAACATCTTCAGCCAAAAACTAATAAGCCCCTGACTCCTTTCAGACACAAACATACGAGCATATTCAAGTCAAAATAGATCGATATTATTTAGGTCACTCCTCCACCATCTCTAGCTGCTTCTTCTTGTGAAATTCCGGCATAAAGATTATCTCCGGCAACACCCCCCCCCCTCCCAAGTGGGAGGATGCCGATCGGACACCCAACTTGTGAAGAAGAGTACGATGCAACGGTCTAGTAAGAGCTTTTGTAAATAAATCAGCAAGCTGTGAAGAAGATGGAACATAGGAAAGTGAGATTAACCCATCAAGCAATTTTTCACGAACGAAGTGACAATCAAGCTCAATATGCTTCGTTCGTTCGTGAAAAATGGGGTTCCTCGCAATATGTATTGCGGCTTGGTTGTCACAGTGAAGAGGGACCGACAAAATTGCCGGAGTACTAAGATAGTGAAGAAGACGAACAATCCAAGTAATTTTTGCTACTAAACGCCTCATAGATCTGTATTCCGCTTCTGCTGAAGAGAGGGCAACAACTGGTTGTTTTTTCGATTTCCAGGAAATTTGACAGCCTCCTAGACTCAGGAAAAAGCCACTCACAGATCGTCGAGTGTCGGCACAAGATGCCCAATCAGAGTCGCAAAAGGCCAGAATTTGAAGAGAGGGCTCTGGTGTCATGAACAAACCAAGCCCCGGATTCCCAGCCAAATAACGTAAAGTGCGTAAAGCAGCCTGATAATGTCCGAAAAAGGGGGTTTGCATATATTGACTGAGGGTTTGAACTGCATAAGAAAGGTCAGTCCTTGTGTTCGTCAAAAAATTCAACTTACCCAGCAGTCTTCGATACACAATTGGATCAGGAAGGGGTGTACCAGAGTCAGAGAAAAGTTTAAGAGTAGACTCCAAAGGGGTAGAAACAGGTCTAGAGTTCATGCAATCAAATTCAGAGAGCAGTTCTAGGGCAAATTTTCTTTGGGTTACAACAAGTCCTCCATTTTCTTGTACCAACTCCATTCCCAAGAAATAGTGAGCTTCTCCCAAATCTTTAATTTTGAACTCATAGTCCAAGAATTGCTTAATGTCATTGATTTCTCCTTTGTTGTTCCCAGTGATCAGAATATCGTCTACATAGACAGCAAGGATCGTGATCAAATCACCAGTTAATTTGAAGAAGAGGGAGTAATCATTGAGCGAAGAACTAAATCCTCTCGTGGCAAGGGCTGAAGACAAACGGGAATACCATTGGCGCGAAGCTTGTTTAAGACCGTACAGAGATTTACGAAGGCGACACATGTGTTGGAGAAGGAGGACTCAATCTAGGGGGAAACCTCATGTACACTTCTTCGTGCAAGTCCCCGTGCAAAAAGGCGTTAGTCACATCAAGCTGGTAAAGATCCCAACTTTTCTTTACTGCTATAGCTAGAATGCATCGAATTGTTGTCATTTTTACCACCGGAGAGAATGTCTCTGCATAATCAATACCTTCTCGTTGTGTATCTCCCCCGATGACCAGTCGTGCCTTGAGCCTTTCTAAAGCACCATTTGATTTCAGTTTCACTTTATAAACCCACTTGCAGGGCAACGCTTTCTTTCCAGCTGGAAGCTGCACTATGTCCCATGTTCTGTTGGAATCCAAGGCTTCAAATTCCTTGTCCATTGTTGCTTTCCAGCTGGGATGCATCATTGCTTGTTGGTAAGAAGTTGGTTCATTTATTTGGCAAATAGAATTGATGATGCATTGATTTTGGGGTGTCATAGCAGAAAAAGTAGAATGATAAAAGGGATAAAAAAGGTGGGTTAGGGGAAATAACAGAGAAAGCAAAATTACAAACATAATCAGATAAATACTTAGGAGGATGATGTTCTCTTTGTGAGCGGCGTAGCTGCTCCTCTGGTGCTGTGGGTAATACTTCAGTTCTGGGAGCTGAACCAACAATGGGATCATAAATGGGAGACAAAGGGGAAGATTTAGACGGTAAAGATTTAGACTTAGAGGCAGATTTAGAAAGAGGTGTGCTCTGTAAAGATAGATTTGGAGAAAGCACAGTAGAAGAAGAAGAAGAAAAAAAATGATCATTAGTAGATGGAAAACAAGAAGGAAACAATTTAGACAGTGGTGAAGGAGAAGAGAAAGGAAAAACAAACTCAATGAATTTGACGTTTCTAGAAATGCAAATTGTATTATCTTCTAAGTTAAGGATTTTATATCCTTTCTTTCCAAAAGGATAACCAAGAAAGATCCCAGGAAAAGCTCTAGGGCTTAATTTGTCCCTGTTCCTAGAGAGAGTGGAGTTGAAACATAGGCAACCAAATGGCTTTAGGTAGGAACAATCAGGGTCTTTTCCAAATAGCACTCGATAAGGAGATTTATTTCTAAGTACCTGGGAAGAGAATCGATTGATCAAGTATGTTGCTGTGAGCAAGGACTCCCCCCAGTACCTTTTTGGTGCATGTGACTGAAACATCAAAGCCCTACAAGTCTCTAACAAGTGTCTATGTTTACGTTCAACTACTCCATTTTGTTGGGGAGTCCCAACACAAGTCGTTTGATGAATGATCCCCTGAGAAAAGAAAAAATCTCTTTGTTCTTGTCCTGTTCCCAATTCATAGGCATTACCTGACCTAATCACCTTCACCTTAGCTAAGAATTGTCTTTCAACAAGGGCTAGAAACGATTTCAATACTGGGAATGCATTGGACTTTGTAGAGAGGAGAAAAGTCCAAGTGGTTCTGGAAAAATCATCCACTATTGTTAAAAAATATTTCTCCCCTTTGTAGGTTGGTCTGTTATAGGGTCCCTATGTATCGATATGTAATAAATCAAAACAGGTCTTTGAACTGATTCTGCTCTTAGGAAAAGGTGGTCTTGATTGCCTTGCCATAGGGCAAACTTCACAAACAATCTTCTTGTTACTGAAAGATATTGGAATGCCTTTTATATTTTTCATTGCATGATAAGGTAGATGTCCTAAACGACAATGCCATAATTTCTCTAAATCAGTCATTTGTGAAACAACATAACTGTGATTCATTTTCTCATTTAATTGTTCAGGACCAAAAAAACAGGTCACACAGGCCTATGACAAACTGACTCTAAAACAAAAGGAAAAGACTCAGACAAACAAGACTTTGACATATTGCAAGAAGAAATAGAAACTGGAGCTTGTGGCTTGTTGCAGAAACTAGAGGTATTATCCTTCAACACATAGAGGTCTGCTGTAGCTTTACCAACGAGCTGGTCCTTCCTCAGTGAGGGGGCCTGCAGTATACATCCTCCTTTAGTAAATAAAAGATCAAAAGGTAATTGATGAACAAGTTGACTTACTTATAGAAGATTATGCTTAAATGCAGGAACATAAAGTACGTGATCCAATTTTAATTCAGGTGACAAGTGTAGGCTGCCTATAGAATAAGCTTTTACCTTGGATGAGTTAGCCAAATTGACCAAGAGAGGAAAAGTAAGTGCTCTTATGCCATGCAACAAAGACTTATCAAATGTCATGTGCTGTGTAGCACCAATGTCAAGAATCCAAGGAACATTGGTGAGTTTAGACAAAAAAGAAGTGAAAACAAAGCAAGCATGATGTATACCAACTAGGTTAGCTGTAGCAGAGGACTCGAAAAAAGAGGCAGATGCTCCCTGAATAGACTGGAACATCTGAATGAGCTGGTCTCACTGCTCCTTAGTAAATCCTTGGCTGCTAACAAGAGTTGAAACAGTATCTCCTCCAACTGTGGTAAGTTCATTTCCAACTGTTGCTGTGTGTGCTTGTTGATTCCCAAAGTTCCCCCTCTTTGGCTTGGTGAACTTGAAATTTTGAGGATATCCCACTAGTTTGTAGCTTTCTTCTTTGATATGACCAGATTTTTTACAGTACTTGCAAAAGAACTCACTCCTTTTTCCTCCAACTGAGGTATTGGAATTATGTACTTTATAGTCTCCTGAGTTCCTTTGTGGTGTCCATTTCTGTCCCGATGTCATAAAAGCAGAAGAATCGGAAATGGAATGTAAGTTAGAGTGTACCTCCCTTTGTGTCTCTTGGCGGAGGAGACTAGAGTATGCCTGAGCAGTGCTAGGAAGAGGCTTCATTAAAATATTTCCCCTTACACTAGTATAAGCATCATTCAACCCCATCAGAAATTGGATTAGTTTTTGGTCTTCATTCATCTTAACATTGTGTGTTTGCACCACACTTGCAGTCACAGTTGCATATCATGAAGGTATTAAGCACCTTCATTTGATCCCGAATTCTTTTAAGCTTAGTGAAGTATCCCGCCACATCACTAGATCCTTGGCTGATGCTGTTTAATTCTCTCTGCAGTTGGAATAACTTTGTGCCATCAGCTTGACCATACCTCTGCTCGAGCTCATTCCATAACTCTTCAGCAGTTTGTGAATAAATCACACTTTCTCCAATATCCTTACTGAGTGACTTGAGAAGCCATACAATGACCATGTCATTGGATTTTTCCATAGCTCAAAGAGAGGAGAATCAACAGATGGGCATCGACAAGTACCATTGATGAACCCCAATTTGTTCTTAGCCGAAAGGGAAATAAGAACTCCTCTACGCCAGTTTGCATAACTAGATCCATCAAAGCTTATATTGATGAGGTTGATTCCAGGATTATCAGAAGAAGTTAAAAAATAGGGATGACAAGAATCAATTTGTTGAGCGGGAGTAAGAGTGATCTGGGAAGTGCTGCTAATAGGAGAAGGAAGAGTAGTTTCTACCATTGTTGATAAAAAAAAAATGTAAATCAGATTGCTTTGATTAAAGCTCTGATACCATGAAAACGTTTAAAGGAGAAGAAAAAGAATTCTGAAGGAATTGATTCAATTTTTTGTGTATTGAATGAATAACTCTCTGTGCAGCTCGTGTATATATACAAAAATGAAGGAATCTTCTGATAACTAACTATGACAGCTGTGCCTATACAATTTGCTGCCTTCTAACTGACTATTAGATAAATACAAATATAAATAAAGAATTTACAGTGGATAAATCTGGATAAATTCTTAGATGTCTTCTGGAAGGTCCAAAAAATAATATTGAGCCCAAGTGTTAAGCCCAAGTGAATAAAGACCAAACATCTTCAGCCCAAAAACTAATAAGCCCCTGACTCCTTTCAGACACGAACATACGAGCATATTCAAGTCAAAATAGATCGATATTATTTAGGTCACTCCTCCACCATCTCTAGCTGCTTCTTCTTGTGAAATTCCGGCAGAAAGATTATCTCCGGCAACATCGAATAGGTAAGCAGCAAAGCTAATAAAAATCACGAGAGATTGGTCGCCTAAATATGACAATATCCCTAATGAACTGTATTTGATAGCAGAATAGGCGATCGGAGGATTTGAAGCTTATGAGTTTGAGATTCTAATCATTTTAAATTACAGATTCTAAATTAATAATTTGTACATATTTAATGAATTTCTTAAAATAAATACAAGATTTGAACCAAAGCTACTGGGCTAAGCCAAACCTGTAACTTGCTCTCTAGCTCCGCCCTAGTAGGCAACTGGGTCTTCAAATAAGGATAGTGAAAGAGTGAATAGATAGATAACTTAGATTAATTCTACATTCAGCGTAAATATGTTTGAGCGTAATTTTTGTTATATCTCAATTTATCACTTAATGATATAATAACATAGCTTGGTGCATGAATCCAAACACATAGTAATTTTTTTCTCTAGGACCACAGTTTCTTAAGGTGGAACTAAGCTAGGAACATGGTGGCGGAGTTGCGACAAAGAAATAAATATGTGTACAAATTTATGGGACATGATGGTGGTGATGACTTTGTTGCAGAAAAATATAGAATAATCCAGTAAAATTCCCCAATAAAAACAAGCAGTAAGGACGCCTCATGCCAAACAGTATATATGGAAGAATTAAAATTCCTTGGACCCAAATATGACTAACTGATTGATGTAAACTATACTCCCTCTGGTCCAAAATAAGTGATTTTTTGAACTTTTTCTTGTGGTCCAAAATAAGTGATTTTTCCAGATTTCAAGAATGAATTAATTATTTTTTTCCTATATTGTCCTTGGAGTAAATAGTGTTGGAATATGTGTTAGGAGTATTTATGTGAGATAGTAAAGGTTAATATGGTCGATTCTATTGCTAATTAATGTTAAAAGGTGAATTTCTTAATCTGTGTGAAAACAGCCAAAAAATCACTTATTTTGGATCGAAAGAAGTATTTATTATCCACGTGAGTTTGTATTTATTTCATTCAATGCTTGTATCGAACAATAAAGATGTCTTTATTTTAATGTCATTTGGATCTCGTGTTTTCTTGTTACAAGTACTCGACTTAATGGCAAACGTTGGGGTTTGTTCATTTAAAAAAACAGTTTTATACCAAACTAATACTTCATTTGGTTCCAAATGTTAGTTACTTTGACAAACTAAAATTCTTTCGAAAATATTTCACACTTTAGAAAAATAAGAATCTTTTATTACATTTCTTTAAATTTATCGTCACTGTCTAGTTAATGTATTATTAATTAAGCGAGATATTTAAAGAAATAAACAATATTTTTATCAAATACTCTTATGATTAAGGCAAGTGCAAGAATTTGAAAAAAGAAGTAATATGAACCGAATGTTGTAGAATGGACAGGGAGAAAAAAAAAATTATCCGAAGGCATATATTATTGGAATATTTACCTCCTATAGCAAAGGTTAACACCTTATTTATTTTAAATAAATACCATTTTAAAAAATTATATCCTATAGATACCTTTTTAATGTTTATAGCAAAATATCTAATTTTAGTTACCTCCTACCCCTAAGCCACTAATTACGCTATCCGGTTACACTATTTTCTTTCTCTCTCTACTTTGATACATGTCATTCTCTTCCCCTATTCCCTAAAAATATGATGCTCAATCTCAAAATTCCTCCCACCCACATCACCTACCATTAGTCAAAAACCCCACGCTCTCTCCTCCCTCCTGCACTTTCAGACGGCCCTTCAGATTTGGTCCAAAACACAGAAACAGAGAGGAAAAGAGAGAGGACGCAGTAGATTTCGAGCCATATGAAGTCGATGCTGAAGGCGAGAGTAGATGTACCTATGAAACTCAAAACAAAAACTGCTGTCAAAGAGAGCAATTGCGCCCTCATCCTTACAGAAATTGTCAGCTTCTTTCTTCTCGAAACTCTAAACCCCGATTGACAAATTAGTTTTTGGGGTTAGAACATGGATGGGATTGAGTTTAAAAACGTAAAGATCATAGAGCCTAGAGGGAAAAGAATCTGATGTCATGTCCTAAAGGAAAGCAAATAACAATGTCCAGGCAAAGGAAGAAAGATGTCATTCATCATCATTATTATTTAGTAATAGATGAAGAATCAGAGTCAAAATTAAAACTTGGAGATAGTGAATTTTGAGCTAGAGGAAGAGAATATGAGTGATGAAGATCTGCTGGGTTTATGATTTTTGCGATGAAAAGAGTTGCTGGTTCTTGGTTTTTACGCTGTATTTTCATGTATTTCATTGTATTCATTGTCTATTTTTTTCATTGTAATTCAATGTATCTCGCTGTATTTCATTGTATTCACTGTCTTTTTTTTCATTGTATTTCAATGTATCCTGTTGTATTCTACGTATTTCATTGTATTCACTGTCTCGCTATATGCCATGAATGTATTCATATTTTTTTTAATTAATATAATTTATGTATTCAGATGTATTATATAATTTCTCTGAAGATTGTTATATTTTTGGGATATTTTTCGGTTGAGAATCTTTTTTATAATTGGAAATACAAAATTTATGTGTTATAATTGAGTTTGTTGAGTTATATTAGGAGTCTATTATGTTAATTGATTCACTTTCCGTTTAAAAATAGTATAATCCCCTGTTTCACACCGTGAATACAGTCGAATACAATAATCTATCCAGCTGTAATCTCATGTTTCACGCCATGAATACAATCGAATACACTCGAATACAACAACTGATTAGCCGGACTTCCCTGTTTCACGCCTATTTTTGCTACTGTATTCATGAATACAGTAGCTTAAATACATCTAATACATCTTATAACAACAGAAAACGTATCTACAATCTGTAATATAGGAAATGGTATCTATAGACAGCTAATTACCACTAAAAGATAGTGTTTTATGAAAGTTTCTCTTCTACGTTTTCTGTTGTTATAAGATGTATTAGATGTATTTAAGCTACTGTATTCATGAATACAACAGCAAAAATAGGCGTGAATCAGGGAAGTCCAGCTAATCAGTTGTTGTATTCGAGTGTATTCGACTGTATTCATGGCGTGAAACATGGGATTACAGCTGGACAGATTATTGTATTCGACTGTATTCACGACGTGAAACAGGGGATTACACTGTTTTTAAACGGAAAGCGAATCAATTAATATTTATTTAAAATAAATAAAGTGTTAACCTTTGCTATAGGAGGTAAAAAATCCTATAATTAACTCTTATAAATCTTCTATTATGAAAGTTTCCCGATATAATATCGACTTTTTAAAAGGAGAAATGGTACATATATTCTAAAAAGGCCCGGTCAAAAACCTTATTTTTAGGTTAAAATAGCACCGGCTAGCCAGTTTTCGGACTGGTCATTAAAAAATAGCCAGCGTCTGCAAAGTCATTGAAAAACATCCACTATTTTGCTGAAACAGGAACTGATCTAGCATTATATACTGGAGATCGGTGCACCTCTGTATGAACTTCCAACATATTATGTTGGAACTCCAATACGCGGAAAGTTCCAGCATAATATACTGGAGATTGGAGCACCTGTGTATGAACTTCTAGCATATTATACTGGACCGGTATATTATACTGGAACTCCAGTATATTGATGGAGTTCCAGTATACTTATGCTGGAACTCCATTATAATATGCTCGAGTTCCAGTATATTATGCTGGAGTATTTTCCAGATTTTGAACAGTGTTTTCGTTCAGATTTATCTTTACATGAAAAGTGACAAAATTTCGATTACTTTTGAAACTGTAGCTATTTTTGAATGACCACTTATAGACCTGACTATTTTTGAATATTTTTGGCCCAATATTGTGCAATAGGTTTTGGAAAGGGGTTTTGACACAGTTACCCACAAAAACAAAATTATTTACCCTTGTCTACCCATTTGTTTTTCTACCCATAAACTAATTATATTTCCTACCCATAGTAGGTTTTGTGGGAAATTTTCTCTTTATTCTCCAATTCTTTTTTATTTCTATGCTTCTTTTCTTTTCTTTTTCTTTTCTCCTTTTCTTTTTTCTCGTTTTCTTCTTATTTTTTCTTTTTTTCATATTCTAATTTCATTTAACTTCTTTTTTTATATTCTTTTTCTCTTCATAATCAAATTTCATTTACTATTTCACTATATTTATTATTCTTTTTTTTATATTATTACTAAAGAAAAATCAAATTGTGTACCAATTAAATGTAGCTAATACAACCAAAAAAATATTAACAAACATTTGATACTGGTATAGTATATAGTTATACCAACAGGGTATACAATTATACGCAAAGAGTTTAAAAATTTTTTATTCAATTATTAAATTGAAATAATATCAGTTGTCAATAAAAATTTCAAAAAATTCTAAAAGGATCTAATTGTAAGAGTATACCGTTACATTATACAACATACTATAATATAATTTTTATTTTTTTTCATTTTCAATTTGCCCCTCGCGCTGGGTAAAAGGTTAAAGCAAATTAAAAGGGAAAGAC